TAACTGTCAGGCTCCTGGCAGCTCGTATTTCCTGAATCCCAAGAAGTTTGCTAGATGTCCATTCTATGATTTCTGTGAGTCTATGTCTCAGCAGGTACCTGCTCCTACAGTGGAAGGGTCATTGTGGTCACACTGCTGGATTGGAAGGTACCAAAATCCTGGAGAAAGATTCATCAGCTGGATCTACACTGGTATGATTCAGAGCACTCGGGCACTGCTAGGCAGAGCTGTTAAAACTGAATTGTCAGCATGTTACCTGGCAGTTTTGGAATGTGACTCTTGGCAACCACTCAGAGAGTACCTGGACATGGACTGGAGGACGGCATGGAGCAGGGACCATTTATTTTCCCAAACACAGTTTTACCTCTGTCGTGGTTTAAACCCAGTCAGGTAACTCGTTCACTCACTCCCCCCCCTTCTTTCCCTCCCCCTACTCCTGGAGGGACGGAGAGGAGAATGGAAAAGAATGCAACTCCCACGGGTTGAGATAAGAACAGTTTAGTAACTAAGGTATAACACAAATCACTACTGCTACCACCAATAATAACAATGATAAAGAAAATAACAAGGGAAGAGAATACAACACCTCACCACCAGCCGACTGATAACTCGCCCCCCCAGTCCGACCAAGCTCTGACCAATACCTCCTCCAACCCTGCAGTCTCCCAGCCCTTCTGGCTCACTCCCAGTTACATCCCGGGCATGACGTGCTGTGGTATGGAATACCTCTTTGGTTAGCTTGGGTCAGGTGTCCTGTCTCTGCTTCCTCCTGGCTTCCCCTCCTCCCTGGTAGAGCATGAGGCTCACAAAGTCCTTGGCCAAACCAAAACATCCTTGTTATCAGATCTGTTCCCGAGCCGAAAGTCAAAACACTGCACTGCACCAGCTACCAAGAAGGAGAAAAATGACTGCTACTCCTGAACCCAGGACAACATCATCACTCTTGGGGGAAGAAGAAAATGTAGTTCTGTGATGCAGGCTGGGACACTCTGGCTTCAGAACCCAAAGAACAACCTGTGGTCTGTTTAATGAGCTAATAGAGCTGGACTCATCCTGTGGCAGGTGCCAAAATTCCCTGCTACAGTTTTAGCCTTAGGCTCTCTAGCCTTAGAGAAAGGCTTCTTTTTTCAGTTTGGTTTTGTGGTGCTGGGTTTTTTAATGTGTTTATGTGCATACCTACCTGTGCAGCTTTTCAGATGGAGAAACCTGTTTCCACCACTTACTCATTACAATTTGAGGGTCTTTACATTCTTAATTGCTACCTGTCTTCTCACTTGAACACTTTGGGAGCACTAACATGGCCGGTTCTTACAGTATTTCTTGTCATGGTTCAGTGAAAGATAACTATTGCCCTGGTACCCTCTTATTACTGCAGACTGATCTGCCACACTGAACAAGTTCTTTTAACTTCGGGAGCATCACTTTCGAGCACCTTTATTTTTAACACTTCAACCTGATGGAGAAACTGTTTGAAAACTGTCCTGTGCTCACATGAAGCATATAATACAGAGGTTATTCTGGGGCAGTCAGCTTGAATATCAGGCTAATCAAAACTACCAAGAATGCCAGACTCTCTTCTTTTTATTCTTTTTTTTTTTTCAGTCCTAGACAGGCTGACTTGAGGGTTTCCTTTGTCATCCCCTTTGGAGCTTCCTCATCCACTTTCAGAGATGCAAGATGTACATTTGCCAGTTCCACAGTCTTCAGAGAGGTATTTCTACTGTCTTGACTGATGATAATTTGACACAACGAGGTCACCAAGGTGAGGCCATGACCAAATAATTGGTTTTCTCCACAAACACGTGTCCTCTTGTCTTTACAGCATTTACTATTTTACAAATAAAGAGTATCTCTCCAACTTTCATGAATTTTCTCATTTGGTAGCTCTCCTGGAGTGTGCCAGGGCTTCCACACCCACTTTTGTCCCAAAGGATGTCTCCCCAAAGCAGCTAAACCTGACTCAGATATGGTTATCCCTTTGAAATCAAAGGGCACTCTGTAGATTATGACTGCAGACATACGGGCCCACTACTGTGCAAGATGTTCAAAGCAATCAGACATTCTGGCTGTTAATCTATGTAGAATAAAAATGGTACTTATCAGGAATGGCCATGAGGTAACTGAGGAACCAAATGCTCCACACCACCATCCACAATAGTGCCCATCTAAATGTGGCATCACTGGGACACATATATACACTCAAAGGCTGAGGAACCTCTTCCTGCGATGATGGCCAGAAATAGCGACTTACCTCCTGAAGTGAACATGACTCATAACATTTGCACAGAATAAGACATGAAAAAGTTTGATTAGACAATCTGGGATTCTTTTTAACTCCACAAACACCCCTATGGTACTGAGTCATAAGTCCCTGTGTACACTGAAACTTCTGCAATTTTGCTTTCAAGCTGACTCTCAGGACTTCCTTGCAGGAACTGTTTCCCACAGAAGAGATGAGTTCAGCCACCCTGCATCAGGAACCACTAGTTTTTAAAGTAATATTTTGTCACAGATTTGAGTCAACAAAAGTTGACAACTTCAGCGGGGGGTATTTTTTTTAAGACTCTCATGCTTATTTTGTACAATATGAAGCTTTTCATGTAGTTGCAGTAAGAGGTAATCTATAATGTGTCTTGACTTAAAGTCAACTGTCCATCTCCAAAAATTTTCTATAGAAAATGCATATTAACATGGCGCTAGAGCTTCATTAGCAATAGCACTGTTAGTACCTTTTTGACCATAAATTGTATCAGACTTTTTTTATAAAATATTTAAAATATTCCTTCATTCCTGATTCTCAGATACTTTCAAAATTAGCAAGCAAAACCCAGTATTTAACAGTTTAATAACAGGGTTTTTTTGTTTGTTTTATTTTCTCTTTGTGTGCTCAGATCATAGAATCACAGACTGGTTTGGGTGGGAAGGGTCCATGAAGATGACCTAGTTCCAACCCCCTGCTATGGGCAGGGACACCTTCCACTAAACCAGGTTGCTCAAAGCCCTGTCCAGCCTGGCCTTGAACCCTGCCAGGGATGGGACAGCCACAGCTTCTCTGGACAACCTGTGCCAGCGCCTCACCACCCTCACAGTAAAAAAATTTCTTCTCATATTCAATCTAAGCTCACCCATTTTCAGTTTAAAACTTGTCCTGTCACTACAGTCCTTGGTAAAAAGTCTCTCCATCTTTCTTGTAGGCCCTGGTTAGGTACTAGAAAGCTGCAATAAGGTCACCCTGGAGCCTTCTCTTCTCCAGGCTGAACAAGCCCAACTCTCTCAGTGTGTTTCCATACCAGAGGTGCTCCAGCACCCTGAGGACTTTTGTGGCCCTCCTCTGGGCCCACTCAAGCAGGTCCATGTCCCTCTTGTGTTGGGGGCCACAGAGCTGGACACAGTACTGCAGGTGGGGTCTCACCAGAGCAGAGGGACAGGATCACCTCCCTTTACCTGCTGACCATGCTCCTTTGGATGTAGTACTGGATATGGTTGGCTTTCTGGACTGCAAGTGCACACTGCCAGCTTAAGTCCAATTTTTTGTCCACTATTATAGAATAGTTAGGGTTGGAAAGGACCTTAAGATCATCTAGTTCCAATCCCCCTGCCATGGGCAGGGACACCTCAACTAAACCATCTCACCCAAGGCCTCGTCCAACCTGGCCTTGAACACCACCAGGGATGGAGCATTCACAACTTCCCTGGGCAACCCATTCCACTTCCTCACCACCCTTACAGTAAAGAACTTCCTCCTTATATCCATTCTAAACTTCCCCTGTTTAAATTTTAACCTGTTACCCCTTGTCCTATCACTACAGTCTCTAATGAAGAGTCCCTCCCCAGCATCCCTATAGCCCCCCTTCAGATACTGGAAGGCTGTTGAGGTCTCCACGCAGCCTTCTCTTCTCCAGGCTGAACAGCCCCAACTTCCTCAGCCTGTCTTCATACAGGAGGTGCTCCAGTCCCCTGATCATCCTCGTGGCCCTCCTCTGGACTTGTTCCAACAGTTCCATGTCCTTTTTATGTTGAGGACACCAGAACTGCACACAATACTCCAGGTGAGGTCTCACAAGAGCAGAGTAGAGGGGCAGGATCACCTCCTTTGACCTGCTGGTCATGCTCCTTTTGATGCAGCCCAGGATACGGTTGGCTTTCTGGGCTGTGAGCGCACACTGAAGGCGGCTCATGTTCATTTTCTCATCAACCAGCACCCACAAGTCTTTCTCCGCAGGGCTGCTCTGAATCTCTTCTCTGCCCAACCTGTAGCTGTGCCTGGGATTGCTCCCACCCAGGTGTAGGACCTTGCACTTGGCATGGTTAAACTTCATGAGGTTGGCATCAGGTCACCTCACAAGCATGTCAAGGTCCCTCTGGATGGCATTCCTTCCCTCCAGCGTATCAACCGAACCACACAGCTCGGTGTCATCGGCAAACTTGCTGAGGGCACACTCAATCCCACTGTCCATGTCAGCAACGAACATGTTAAACAAGACCGGTCCCAACACCGATCCCTGAGGGACACCACTCGTTACTGGTCTCCAGCTGGACATTGAGCCATTGACCACAACTCTTTGTGTGCAGCCATCCAGCCAGTTCTTTATCCACCGAGTGGTCCATCCATCAAATTGATGTCTCTTCAATTTATAGACAAGGATGTCATGCAGAACAGTGTAGAATGCTTTGCACAAGTCCAGGTAGATGACATCTAGATTATCACCAAGACCTTCTCCACAGGGTTGTTCTCAATTCATTCATCCCCCAGTCTGTATGGATATTGGGGTTGCTCCAACCTGGGTGCAGGACCTTGCAGTTGGCCTTGTTGAACTTCATGAGGTTTCAGAAGGTAAAAAGTATTTTGTTCACCTAACAACATTCACTGTCGCCCCATGTATAGTAAAGGTGAGACAAAAAAGGTATCAGAAAGAGAAAAGTTGTTGAAAGAAAATGTTCCATGATATTCCCTGTTCTTAATTGTATACTTCAGATGAATGAAAAGGAAACCTTTCAAGTGTGTTTTCAAGTCAAAAATGTATTTATTCATGATACTCCATGATTCTTCAATATCATACAGGGAAGGAAGGTTTAGGAAAAAAGAAACAAACAAAAAACAAAACCGAAGTGCTGAAGTCCTGAGGCCTAGAGAAATAGAGGAATAACGAGCTTACAAGAATTAGTGGTCAGAAAGTTCCACCAAGAAAACAGCGAATTAAATTACAGAGGGATTTTTACTGCAAATTAGGAGCCCAAAATGTGAGTAATAGCAGGATCAATGAGGACAAAGAAAACAGCAATAAGACTGCATACAATGCTAGAACTGCTTATGGGGCAAAATGTATGAGCTAGGAGTTCTCATTTGCAGCCCACACACTGACACAGCATCACTTTTTTTGTTCTCACATATTCACAGTCAGTTACAAAGCCAACAGCACTTGCATGGAAGCTAAAAATGAGTGTATTCCCCTTCAATAAGGTGGTGCACAGTGATACTGACATGTATATTTCTTAAAGCTAATCTTTTTCTTCACAACTTTGTCCTACAGCGAATTCAAGATGTTTCTGATATGTCCTCATTTTCTGAGTGCCTACATAAAACAAAATTAATGAAATATAAAACTGTTAGAATGAGTGTATAGGACTTATTAATAGAAACATGATAGGATGTACCATTCATTGTGTGGCCTGTAAATACCTAGAGCAAAATAATGAGCAATGTCTAAATTTGAGGGTGCATTTTTATAACAAGTTTTGTATTTTTAAGCAAGATGGACAAGTGAATTTTCCACAGAACATTTTGGTGCTCTGTGAAGTTTGCTTTTCTATATAAAGAGCTCATCTATATTTGTTTCCCACATGCTTCCAAGAATGATGTAGCATCTGAAATTAAAAATATTTTTCAGTAGCTATCTTATGAAGGCTATCATTGCAGACAAAACTGAAGAAGGAGAGAAGTGCACAGTAGTACAAGGTTTGAAGGAATTGTAAATCCCATATACTGCAAAGCTGGAAAACATTTTGTTTATGAACAGGCAGGGAAGAAAAGCAAGGGAGAGAATAACGTATTCCACATTCAATGGCTGTTGAGAGGCAGCTCTACTTGTTGCCAAGTGGTTTTACCTTTCTTATGTGATTACCTTTTGTGTATATAAATTCTTCGGGTTTGCAAGGGTGACTGAGGAAGAGGCCTCTGAAGCCAAAATCTGGCTTACTGGTAACAGAGCAGTTTTAAGTTTAAGCACTGAATCAGTCAAAGTGCAGTTTTGCTTCAACACGAGTTCCCCTCTTGCAGAGTAAGAGCAACTGGAATCAGATTACTTAATGGCTCAAAGGGGCATATGTTGAATAGTCTGGGCCTAAAATTTAATCACCATAAAATAGTTTTCTTTATTAAAGACTTGTTCTTTGGATTGTTAATATTACTTTTATTATTGTTGAGCACTTTATAAAAAGACTGTATTTCTTAGTATCCATAAAGAGGCTAATCTATTTATTAAATTCTCTTACTCAGTGGCCCCTGTGCTTGCCAGTTTAAGCTGAAAGGTATGAGAGATGTCACTGTGTTGCCAGATCATGTAATGATCATCATTTTGCAGAGAAGTTACAATTACGCCAAAACAGAACATATTTCTGCGCTTCCTGGCCAAAGCATTTCTCCTCCTCTTGTAACAGAAGTAACTTTGCAGACAGGAATACGTAAACACAGGGCTGATAGCATAGCTCGTTATCATTCAGCTCCCTCCTCTCTGGGCCAACCTTTTCACCTGCAGGTCGGGGTTCTCTCCTGCTTGTCTCAATTGCCGCGCAAGACGTGATTACCTACATTTTAGTTTGCAAAACTCAAGAATCTTACCCTGATATGCCTAAATAAATAAATAAGCAAATAAATAAAATCCACAAACCAACCAACGAACAAAACAGAAGATGGAGCCAGAGAGTAGCTTTTAAAGCAAATTGCCGGAGAAGATGGGGAATTCAGTTTGCTCCAAATCTTAAAGCTTCAAACAAGACTGCAAATAAGGAATTGGAGAAAGCCTTCCAAGACTCTGGGGTGCAGTTCGAGGATATGGAAAGTGGCTCCATTGTGTGAATGCATCAGTTTAAACTGCTTCTTCCCAGAGGTCTGTTGTCATCCTGTATGTGAACCCATGAGCCACTGTTACGGCTCATAGGCAGGCAGCCCGATTCAGCTGTATCCAAATCGAAGGAGTAAAAGTCAATCCACATCAAGAAAATAAAGGACAAAACTAACATAGGGAAGGATGTTTCATTTACCATGGCAATACGCCAAAAAGCAAAGTAAGAGAAATGACACTAAGAAACAAGATAAGGTAATATTGATATAAAGTAAGCTGAATTTTTCAGCTTGTTTTTCACTCTATTATGGGTATACTCTTCCAAGAAAGCTCAAATAAACCAAGCATAACATCCTAGTGACCACACACACCAGTTTGGAATTTATATTAACAAGAAAAAGAACCTTTAAATGCTGTCATTGTTATTTCCTTCAAAAAGCACATACCAGAGGTACATAATTTAATTCTTAACCCTACAGGTATTTTAAATGCAGAAAAAGAACTGGATAGGCTTGGTTTTCTTGGCTTCAAATTCAGTTACTAAGTCATCTTGCTTTCAGTCCTAACAATAGTTTTAATCCATGTGATTTGATCTGAAAGTGGTGACAGAAAAAAAAAACAACAAACAAACAAAAACCTGCTAGGAAGTATTTGTAAGATTTATTTTCTTGACTTTTCTTTTTTTCTTTTTTTTTGGTTATAAGGGAAAGCACTTTTCTAAACTAACCCTAATTTTGCATCAGAATATGTTCATAAAACTTGATGTCTACAGCAATTCTAACTTTAAATCCTTTTGTCCATCAGTTTTGTCAATATGGGAAAACTGTTGTTTAAAAGTTTTTTGTTTAAATGTGTGTGACAATGATAGATCTTGGTGGTAATTTCAATGCCTTTTCCACCATTATGACATTATTCTTTTAGCCTGTTGGGTGGAATGCAGGAGGAAGCTTCAGGTTTCTGTCTCACTTTGAAACCTATTTCTTCTCTGCTTCCCCTCCTCCTCTCCCCAGGTTTCTGTGCAGTATTTTTTCTTCCCTCAGCCATAGCAAAACTGTTTTGGTGCGCAATAATTTCCCAATCATATTTCCCCCTCTTATAAGGGAAGACCTCAGGTTTGCACACCTGGTAAAGTGATGTACTAAACCTCAGGACACATATCTGTTATTCAAGTGCCTTCCTGGTCTTGCAGAGGAAGTCAGCAGTACAGATAAGCTCTAAAACACACCCTTATGATTCTTATCTTGACTGGCCACTGCTGGAGTCTTGTATTGTGTTGTCTTCCACCTCCTCCCCCCAAAGGGTAACTTATTTACAAAGATCAAACCTTTATATAAAGCATATATTTCCTTTCAGCATATTGTTATTTGGCTTTGGTCCAGAATACATGCCTACCTTCCAGTGTTTTCCCTCAATGTCTTAAACCTTGAAGGATTAGTCTTGGACCTGAACCTGTTTAAAGATACAGGAAAGACAAGGTTAATGGGGAAATGTAATATGTCTGAACAGGCAACTGAAGAAAATCCAGATAATTTGGGGAATATGCAGGACCTATTTCCAGTCCTGTGAACCACACTTTTGCCTATCAAAGCCACTCATTTTCTCCATTACTTGCTTCCTTAAAGGCACATTTAGCAAAAAGTCTTCTGGGTCTCCCAAGAGCCTGCAGTCACTTGTGTCCAACATACTCTCAGTTTATCTGTCAGCAATGCACAGTGCCTAATCTTGAACAAAAACAACAAGGCCAGCAGACCTTGACAGACTTCAGTTTTATCGTTCTGAAAGCTATAAAGTATATTGATGTCTTCAGAGACTACCTCCCATATCTCATCTCATCAAGCAGCAAGGCAAACATTTCTATCTGTAGGTCTAACCTAGGACCACAGGATCATCCATAGCAGTAAGAGGATTGGTCTCTGCCTCTTTAGCAACAATTTCCTTCTAAGAATTATAAGAAAGAGATGTTATCTTGTACAATCACACTTCCTGTGGGAAATTGTTTGAGAATGCAGATTCATTTCCTATATGCTATTATACAGCCATTATGTTGTTGACTGGACATTTCCCTCCACAGTAGACTTCTGTACCTCTAATAGTTAAGTCGAGTAAATGTCTTGCTGTGGTCCTGCAGATACTGCTTGTTTGTTTAACGTAACAGAGATTACTATACATTGTGAAAATATAGTTTCTGCCACAAAAAATAAAAAAAAATAAAAAATAAAAAAATACTGTAGCTTTCCTCTATTGCCTGTATCTACTACGTAAGCAACATAAGTGCCAAGTGGGCAGCCAGGATTTGTTCTGTTGCTGACGCTGCTGTGTCACTCCCAGGGAAAAAGTAAACCCCTGATCTCTGGGGTTTTTATACCTTTTTTTTTTTTTTTCTTCCCTGCAGAGAAATGTTGCTCATTATCTTATTGTGAGCACATGTAACATTACAACTCACATATTGCTTTCCAATCTGCTTATTACTTCTGCAACGCAAGACAACAGTTCAGACACTGAGCATGATTTTCCAGACTGAGACAGATTATGAAAGTTTGGTGTATACTTCAGGAGGAGTTCTTTTTCACTAGCTTTAGCACAGATTTGGGTATGTTATCTGACCTTCTCGGACCTCAATGAATCCATCAGGAAAAGTGAGCGTAAAGTAGCACCTTCTGGAAAATGAGCTGCTGGAAATCTGTTGCATTTCCCTTAGGAATGAGCTGTTGGACAATAAATGACTACTGCCGTCGCTCAAGCAGCCCTGCCACACTGCAAACCTACCAACAGCCCTTGCCGGCCACAAGGCTTGCACTGACCGCCACCTCTGTCCAAACTGGCCCTGTGTCTTATGCGCCCATTTTCAACACTGAATACTGAAATTTACATAGAAATTGTGCAACTGTGTAAACGTTGTTTGATGCAGAAAACGCTACACAAAGTTCAGTACAGGGAGATCCTATGGTCTAATGCAGCATCAGAAATCCCACCTCTACCTCACATGCCGACCTTCAGTCCCCAAGATAAGCTCAGGTTGGAAAAAGCAGCGTAAACACCCCTTTCTTTCGCAAAAGGGTGCGCAGCGACTTGACTACGGGACGGACACCACACACCCTCACCGTGCCAATCGAGGAGCATTAGGCAGTCGCCATAAGCGGGACACGTTTACCTGGCTGCCCCCTGAGGCGTGCCCGCGCCCAGCCCGGACAGCCGCTGGGAGGGCGGTCATTGAAGGAGGTGTGTGTTTAAGCCCCGTTCAGATCGGAGGGTTTCCTCAGCTGGGACACCACAACCCAACACAACGAGATGGCGGCGGGCGGCCGCCATTTTCCCGCCCCTCAGGCCACCCCGCCCCGCCCCGCCCCGCCCGCCCCAGCCCAGACCGGCTCGGGGGCGGTGCCGCCGCCGCTGCTTTGGTTCCTGCTTCCGAGGGAGCCCGCGGCGGCGCCCGCCTCGGCCAGGTCTCATCTGCTGTCGGGCTCAGCTAGTGCGGGCCGCCTTCCCCGGCAGCAGCCTCCTCCGGCCGTTCAGCGGCGTTTGCCCGCTGGCCCCACGAGGCCCATGGCGGCGGAGCCTCAGCCCAAGGCGCTGACTCGCAAGCCCCTCCTGCTCCACAAAGTGGAGGGCTCGCAGGAGGTGGTGAACATGGCAGCGATAGTGCCCAAGGAGGATGGGGTCATCAGCGTCTCCGAGGACAGGTACCGGGGATGGGGGGTCTGCAGGTCCTGTGGGGCTGTGGTGGTGGCTGTCGTCTCCCACCATCACTTGTCTGTGATGGTGGCAGTGATGGGCCACCACCAACACCGAGGAGTGATGGTGGGATGTGGCAGGTCCTGCGGTGATGGTGAATGACCAGTGATGATGGTGGTGACAGAGCACCACTGTTGCTGATGTGGCTTTGACTCCATCAACAGACTCCAGGCAAGAGCCAGGGTCATGGTGGTCCAGCATAGGGACATGGCTTAAGACAGTCACATCGAGTCCTGCAGGAGGAGGAGCTCGGGGGTCTCACCTTGGTGTCTGTCTTCTCCTCCACTGCAGCATGGGTCAGGGCAGTGAGTGGGCTGGAGCGCTGCTGAAACTTGCAGGACTCGAGTGACTTTTCTTAACCAGGTTAAAATGGGATTTGAGATCACCTGCATTACAAAGATTTCTGTGGAGGCTGTGGAGGTCTTTGACCTTGCCTAAAGATTGTGGCTTCAGTTAGAACAGTAGTTTTGGTTCCTGATTCCCCTCTCCAGACATTTCTTGGTAATTGTTTAAAAATACCATGTATCAGTGATAAGATCTTGGAGTTAAATCTCTTGTTGTAAAGCTGCCAAAGAGGAGAATGTCTTCAGGCCGTTTAACTGGGCTGTGCGAGGTCTGAGGCTGCCCAGCGGCAGCCCTGTCTCTTCTGAAAGAGCTCAAACTCAATGTAGCCCTGCAGCTGGAGCTTCAAAACTCTGCCCTGAAGGTGTTTTCTTTTAAAGTAAGAGCGTTTTTTTTTCCTTCCAGGGACCATAAATAGTTATTCTAAGCAGTTTCTTTGCAACTCAGGTGTAACCTGTGTCCCAGCTTGAAAGACAAACGTTGTCCACTGTGTGAATATGTTTTGATTCTTAAGGCTGGGGTTTTATTCTGGTCTGTTTCTTTTGGATGCCTGTTATCCTGCTGAGCAGCTGCTTTTATGTCTCCACTGGCTTTCTGGAAAACTGTCAGTATTTCTTTCATCTTGTCTTTGCCCTCACTGTGAGTTAGTTTTCAGCTAGTGGTCAAAAATGTGCAAGTTTAAGATCATTTCAGTTCATCTAAGCTGTGGACTCCAAGTGAACTTTCATGCCTTATAGAAAGAGGAACTGAGCTGCTTCAAACAAGTACACTGTCAAAAAGCAGTTTTACATTACTATGTGCTCATGATTTTATTGTCTTTACGTTTTTTATGTGTTTGTTGTGAAAGCTAAATAAAACTTGAGTTTGTTTTGGCTTACTGTAGCTGTTGCGCTTATTCAGTCAATTCTGTTTATCTGTAAGAAAGTATTCCTGAAATTAATTTGCTCTCATATAGATTCTCTCAGTCTGTCTCTCCCCCACCATAGACAAAATACATAGCTTCTGCTGTTTTAGAACGTATGAGTTGCTGAAAACAGGTTGATGCTCCAAGTTTATAATTATACGTACAGAAAGGGATTGATCAGAGGTCTTTGTTTCACTAGTAACTGTCATGTCAGGTTCAAGTAACAAGTGGTAAAGCAGAAAACGGTGTTTTAACACTTAGTGTGAAAACTGGTGATGCTCACCAGTTCATGAGCATCACCCTTTCCTTTCCTGTCCCAGAGCAAACCCTGGGTGCATGTCAGTTAGGTCCTGCTTGCTGATGAAGCTGGGTAAATAAATCTGTTTCTAGATGTGCTGCTAGATATCTAAAGTTTTGATGATGATGCAGAATAGCTCTGCAGATGTTAAAATACTGTAGTAAATCTGGAGGTTCCCAGGCTGTTTTCTGTTTGAAGGTGCTAACCAGGTAATTTGCCTGCTTGTGGGGCTGGTTTGCAGTGTTTTCAAGATGCTACAAGCTATAGTCATGCCTTTTATTTCTTTAGGTATGAAGATGTTAATTGATAGCTTTTTTTTTTAATTTTCTACCTACATTAGCATTTTAATTGTAATTAAAAGGTTGAGAGTATGTATCTTATTTGGAAAGAATAGCAGGTTGGAAGTCAGACTTGGAGGTTTCAGGATACCCGTGGTGGAAGCATAATTTACCAGACTTTCAATATTTGTGGCTTATGATTAGGTTTGTGCAGATCCTTATGGTGCCTTTTCCTGCTTGGACCTGCCTTCTAATGTTAGTGTTGATGTAGTTGTTTAATAGCCTTGGAATGTGGAGGGCTTTTAGAGATTCCCGAAAACTGTAAAAGACAGTTATGGAGATGCTGTCTGCCTCTTTACTTGTTAACCGAGTGAGTTTTGGTCCTGCTTCCCAGCCTGTGACATGTACTGTTCATATGAGAGAAATGTTCTGAAATTTCTGCAGAGAACTTCAACAGGAAAAACTTGCCATCTCCAGTGCTTGCTCTTCAGGCTGGGGAACATGGGTCTTCAGGAGATGAAGAGGAACGAGTTCTCCATTGGTTTGCTGGCTAATGGCTGAACATATATCATTGTCAAAGTTGCTAGTAGTCTTAATAGTCACAACAACTGTACCACTGTAAAGATTTTCTTTAGTGCACAATGTGGCTGTATACCTATAAGCCCTCCAAAGCAGAGGCTGTCTCTGTTCTCTATTTTGTGTGGTACAAGTGGTTTTAAAAGACACAGAAGTGGTTTCAGCTATAGCTTGCAGAGATAGTCATGCATTATATAGCCCTGAATAATTGTATTTGTAGCACATACATGCACGTATTTTGAGAAATAAAATGAAAACTGAGTAATAATAGAGTGTGTGGCCATTCCTCTAATGGCTGGGGGGGGGGGATGAATCTCTGGGAGTGGGATTTACATATTTAGCTAGATTTTTCTAACCTTTACATAACCTGCAGGGTTGGAGTTTCTTTTCAGTGTGCATCACCCGTATGTTTTACATACTTATTCTTCTAAGAAAAAGGGGTGCACCTGTCTAGGCAGGTGAGAGTTAAGTTATCCAATAATGTATAAATCTGATGCAGGAGGGGTGTAAGAAAGAAATTACTAGCTTTCATCCATGGTCTTTCACCTGCCAGCAAACATCGGAATTAACAGGCACATATACCCAAACATGTAGCATCTTGAGTGATCCATAGCATTTCATGGCCTGGGTGCTAT